ACGCACACTTGAGCAGAAGAATTTATGCTGAAACCTCTGCTAGCAAAGCAGAGAGACAAGAGCTCCCAGAAGAAGAGATGGGATGTGCAGATGTACCAGACAGATCAAACAAAAAAAAGAGTAATCTCTCAGAGATTCATCTCTGTGTTAGCGCAAAGCAGGAGCAGCAACACCTCTAAATGTTTTAAAGGCCCAGAAGAGCCTGTGTTTCACAGACATCGCAGTGTTGGTTTGCAGCCTATGAAACATTAAATGCCTACAATTCCAAAAGTGAAGTTTTGTGTGGCCGTGCCTAAAATTATGAAAGTACGGAGAATTTCATTTGTTATTCTGTGTGTAAGTGTCACTGAGCTCAGCTCTACCTGCTGTTTTGCTTTTAAGTAGGCTTCTGTCATTGTGCTCTCATAAACTTCCATCACTTCTGGGGTACTCAGTGTCTTTATCCAAAGGTTTTTCAGTGAAGATATTTCACTTGTGAGCTTGCGATAGATAGTTTTTACCTTTGGTGGAAAAAGAAAAAAAGATTGCATGAGGACTGTAAGAGATGATTTAGAGATGGTAAAGCCTCTCTTCAAAATAGATACCTCTGTGTAATTAGAACCCATGCTGCTGCCTGAATTTTCAGTACAAAACACGTTAGTGCTAGTTTGTCTCAGATTAGGGTATGATGATTTTGCCAGAGTAGTCAACTGGTAACTGCATGCTGTAATTCCAGCTCCCTCTGCTGTCCTTTGAACCACAAATGGTATCAGTTTGGTGCAGAGGTTGCGTAAGGCAACCAAAATGATCTGTCTTAAGGTCACTACTCTGCACTATGTCGCATGGTATGAACAGCATAAGAATATAGGTACATATTTGTGTTTCATGTTCTAAAAAGATGAAAGTCGAAACAAAGCATGTTCCTATTAGCCAAAGCTTCATGAAATAATGGTAACAAAGTTACCAGTTTTAGGCTCTTTCTACATAAAAATAAGTAGCCCCAGAACACAATTTACCTCTTCTTTGAAATGGCCCAGTTTGGTTGTGACAGATAGTGATTGTCTCAGCAAAAGCTCAAAGAAAACATCGGTATTAAATGACTCAAGGTCTATCTGTTCTTCAGACTCCCAAACATCACCCCTCTTCAGGAAGCCAGCTGAAACATGGATATTCATTAATTAGCTTTTTTTTTCATTTAACGCTTTTTTGAACAAAGAATCATAGAATTGTAGAAGAGTTAGGGTTGGAAGGGACCTTAAGATCATCTAGTTCCAACCCCCCTGCCGTGTTGCCTAGGCTCTGTCCAATCTGGCCTTGAACACTGCCAAGGATGGAGCATTTACCACTTCTTTGGTCATGTAAAACAATTTAACAGCCATTGTACATTGCTAAACATGGGATTCTGGCTCCGTTATGTGCAAATACCCACATAGACACACCATTGTTTAGCCTTTTTGCTATCTGACCTGTTCCATCAGTGCTGCGAGAGTCATCATCCATACTACCTTTGTTCTGCAGCAAGGGGTGACATTTTTTAATGGAAAAGACTGTTGATACATTGGAGGAATAGCTGTCCAGATTATACTTCAGCTGCTGCCTTCGATATGGAGGGCGGGTAGTGCCTTTCTGTGGCCAGCTAAGTCCCTGACAAAGAAGCTGCAACACAAAACAAAACAAGGAAGTTCCTTTTCTTATTTTGACATGTTCTATTAATGTGATTCACATGTTACTCACTTAACAAGCAAGATGCATTATCACCTGTAAGGCAAGGACCCTGATGAGAGTTTGTTTTCGAAGTGCATCATTAAAGTCATCTGTTCTAAATCAGAACAATTACTCATCCCAGCAGATAAGGCTGAAACCAAGGGGAAGGAAGTGTAGTTATCTGTTGTTTGGATCTGCTGGATGAATAAATCACATTTTCTGCCATTACCTCACTGGTCTGGTTGCAGAAAAAGCATGTTCATTTCAGAACATACTATAAGCATAAAAGAATGGCTGTCTGGTGACTTAACAGTCTGAAGGACCAGCTTGTTTTTTAATTGTGAAACAGAACATCTGATTTCAGGTATATTGGGATCAATGGGACTTTTATTCTGAATAGGAAGTGCAAAACTGAATGGCACATGAATGACGACTGGAAGAACTTATTTATGACTGACAGTTCTTTATAATGGCATTCCAGGACTTATCTATGTCCTCTTATTTTGAGGCAGGCTTGGTCAGACATTAAAGAAAATATAATTATCATCTTATTGATCTTGTTCCTTCCCAAAGAGTTGTGAGGAATTTTATTATGGTTTGATCTAATGAGACAGAAAACAGGACTGAAATTCACCTATATCTTCAATGTCTCTAAGTGACCTATGGAGCAGGTAAATATATTGGGGCTTTGGTGGTACTGCTGCATAGATTCACAGAGATGAATTTTACCTCCTATAAAAAACCTGAATTACAGTCTATCCTAATTTTTAGCCCTGTAGATGATGCCTAAGGGAACAGATAGCTTGCAGATTAGTCGTGCAAAATTTTATCAAGGGGTCCTGTCTTTGCATTTACAATGTCCCTCTTAGCAAAGAATTTCATATTCCATACAAATGTTTGGAATTTTGAGTAACTACTACTTACTGTCAATACCACAGAGGCAATAAGCAGTACGAGAAGTCCTGTGATCACTGCAGTAACTGCTGTCCAGTCAGGTTTCAGTAGGAGGTCTTGGTTTTTTGCAATGCCCACCTGTACAGCATATCTGGGTGTTGTAGGGAAGAATGGCCCCTTTTCATAGCACTGTCCTCCAAGTGGCATGACCCTAATGTACTTAATAAAATAAGCATAAGAAAGCTGGTGACATGTCACTGCGTCTGATTTAAATATGCGTGATGATTTAAACATTAAATGTTACTTTGCCCGTTACACTGAATCAAAGCTTAGCAGCAGTTGCACCACTTCACACTCGTATATGCAGCACATATGCATACATGCAGCACACCTGTAAACTCACCTGTAGTGTATGATGTACAAAAACTAAAAGATGCTCACTATTATTTTTTAAACTTCCAATGTTTCCAAACATTTGTATGGAATATATAAAATTCTTTGCTCAGAGGGGCATTGTAAATGCAAAGCCAGGATTCCGTGATACGGACCATTTTTTTGTGCCGATTGCTACTCAGCCGTAGCACATAGGTACCAGGGTGCTGGAACTGGAAAAGGAAGAAGAGGAATTGTTGGGCCTCTCTAACTTCCTCTCTGAGGCTTCGAAGGTCTCCCCAGTCAAATTCAGCATTCGTGTTGTACAGGTTGTTTCTAAGAGCAGAAGTAAAAAAGTCAGTTCTTGTCTCTACCCACCTTTTTTGGGTAGGCTCATAATTACAGCAGAGATTTACTAAGGTACAGTTGCCATTTGAGGTTTGTCCATACCAGCAGAAAACGGCATCAGTGTGAGTTTGGGCACTGCACCTACAATTGTCCACACAGCTCTACTGTTTACTAACCCCTTGCTTTGTTTTGGGTTGCTCCAACTGCTTCTCCCCCCAGAAATGTGCAGTAGAGTAAGTTAGCCCTAAGCATCGTGGATATTTATTTAGCAGTGAAGAGATAGTTACTGGGACCCCTTATATGTGTTTAATCGCTGCAATGTCAACATGGAAACCACATGTAGGTTTTGTTATTGATTACATGTCCCTGGTGTTATTTGTATACTTTGAAACTGGATGAAGGGCAAAAAGCAAATCAAAATAAGCTATAGGGGAAGAAACCCACAAAACCACCCAACCAAACAAAAGCCACAAAGGAATAATGAAAGCTTTCATTGCAGTAAGAACTATTGGTTTCCATTTGGGTTAGTTTACCAAAACCTAAACCATAGCTCCAATTAGATCACAAAACTCAATAACTACAAGAAAGGGAAGAGAACTTAAGGTCGACTAGAGGGATTATACAGCATAAGTCAGTGAAAAGACAAATTATAAAGAGTGTGAACAGAGGTCAGAAATAGCATCAGCAAGACAACAGGAACAGTATGTATGTATTTAATAAATGAAAGTTTTCTTAACAACTTTCATGCTGTTTCCTACTGTGCCACAATGTCTTCTCTGTCAGAAAGACATTAAAGTATGTTTACTAATGAGATTTACACTCTTCCTAATCATGTGTTCTCTTAATTCTATGTTGAAAAACAGGAAAACTTCAGCCTTGCTCTCTGTAGCTTAAGTGCATTAGAAAGGTTCTATATTCATCATTTGTACTTACACATCATAAACGGGGTAATGCTCCTTGGAGACAATGAATATGATAGTAACATTAACATTAATGCATGTGATGGGATTTAAGATGCCAGTAAATATGATTTTTGATGTGGAGTTTGAGGGTTTCAGGCTTTGTACCCAGGAATGTTCTTCATGGCGAGACATAACTGTAAAAGCACAGACCTTAAGTTTGGATCATTACTGATCATATTCTGTCTACAGAACAACTGCAGGATATAGCATTTGCTTTTACTTTCTACGACTAAGCTTTATACATGCAAATTTTGTTTCCAAAATAAGGCTTACTGTCAGGACAACATGCAAACATGCCACTGGCTTGCTATAGATTTGAGGATTTCTCTGCAACTGCTAAAGAGGGACTTAAGTCCTGCTTTCCAAGAGGAATGCAAGTGGAAGGAGGGGTAATAAGGAAGTGATCTCACATGCCCAAAGCTAAAAAGAGGGTGTATAGAGCTGAAGAATAGAGCTAAACTATGGATCAGAACTACTAAGCCGAAGGAGAGATGTGAGAGGAAATGAGGGAAGCTCAACTCTGCTAGTTGCTCCTGAGCTCTGCCCTCCCTCCATGACAGTCAAGGTGGTCATGGCAGCACACACAGGTGGAGGCAACTTTTGCCCATACAGCTGTTTCTCATTGCACCTGGGGGAAAGGCAGGGAGCTAGAGAGAAGCAGTCTGCTGACCAGTGGGTTTGGGCTGTGACTGCAAAGGATCAGACTTTCAGTGCAGACAAGGTAAAGCTTTATGTTTGACTTTGCTCAGTGTGAATGGTTTCTCCAGGAGTTTGAAGATGGTGAGGTCTGTTTGATTTAACCATTGTTATTTTCTGGTTAAGCCAGTGCTGCAGATGGTTGATGGGACAAAGCACAATTAAATCTTAGAGAAGCTGTATTGAATACGTGCTTTGGAGCTTTATGGGAGAACTTACCTGAATCTATTGCTGAAGAAGGCCGATTCTTGTTATGTGATGAAGCCTCATTTAGCATGAAGTTGTGGAATAGTTGTGGGTCAGGATCATACACCCCTAAAAATCCTTTTCCTGAAGTGGTATAAAAAGCATTGGTCACTTCTTGTTTTCAGTAGGCTGGGTAGTGCTTTTTCTGCTAGTTTATAGAGCATCTGCTCACCAAAGACCCCAAGTAACACTTAAAAATCTAAACCCAAATGGTATACTTTTTAGTTCTTTCCTCTTATTTTTGAGCAGTGCTTTGATTGGGCCTCACTCCAAGCCTATAGGTTTTGTTTGGTGTTGCAAGACCTGTTCCTTAAATAGCATCTGGTTTACCTTGGCTGAAGTCAATGAAACTGAGCAAATTATTACATCTTATTGTCATTACTAAACTTTGGTTTATTTGCATGGTTGTGCAAAGAGTGCTCTTGGATTATGGCTTTGCTCAGGAGAAAAATATGTTTAGCTACTTCTGATTCTATTTGGTAAACACCCATTGATATCTGAAGCCCAAGGGAAAATCTTTATGGAGAAAGGACCTGAGAAAGGAGTTCAGGCAAATCTGTTTATCGTTATTTGGGGAATGGGAGGAAATTTGTGAATATCTGTCCTTTCTTGTACTATTCAAAATATACAGATTTCAGATGCCTGTTCTGGGATTGAGAAGGATGATTTTTGCATGGAGTTATTAGTTTGTATTGCTGCATGCTATCAGTTTATATGCATCAAGTTTTCTTATTGTTTGTGTTATAAATAGGCTTGTGTGTATAAAAGCCATTTAATATACAGATAATACTATAACTGTTCTTATTCTTTCCCTTACCACTCATTTTCACAACGAATGCTGGATGGGTATATTTGCTTTGTTCTGAAGTGCAGGTGTCTTTTAAAGAGAAATATGGTCTCAGTAGAACTCTTCTTAATTCTTCTAAGAAAACAGCAATCTAATAGAAAAAAGAGTTCAAAGATTTCTTTTTTTTTTGCATTAATTTTGCATACAGTTGCAATATAAGATCACATACAGAAATATGCTGTGCATAGAATAGTGTCTGGGGGTTTTGTTTCTTGCTTTCTGTAATTTCCCAAGAAAAAAGGAATGAGGATGTTCTTTAGTTAAAGGATTACTAGAAGTCTAAAAAGCCTAGCAAAATAGGTAGATTGTGGAAATGACTGCAGCTTTTACCTTGCTCCCATTTCTATAAGTGACAAAAAGCTGAGCATTTTTGTCTGTACAGGTGACCTGCAGAATATCTCTTTGTTGTCTTCTGCACTGAGAGTTACACACACTCTCCAGACTGTCAGTTTGACAAATGCAGAGGCCAAGAACCTTATCATATCCTTGATAATCTCTGGGGACAGTGCAAACCTGCAGAAGGAAAAAAAGGGATAAAATAGCAGTACAAATAATGTCCAGGTGTTGCTTAAGTGAGGAAGGGAATCTGGCTTTCCTGTTTCGGGTTGAAGAAGAGGCAAAGCCTCCTGTGAAAATGCCAATAACACTTGGTTGCCATGCTCTCTGTGCCTTCTAAAGGAAGAGTTTGAGCCGTTAGGGTAGTTTCTGTGTGATCTTTGAATTTAACTAATGTAAAAACTGAAATACCTTCTCTGAGCAATAATGAACCCATCCTTCCTTGGTTAAACACTGTCCTTCCTGATTTCGCGAAGCTGAATCTCGACAAATATCATAAGCTTGTCTGACACAGTGTCTTCCATCATTTAAGGACCTCCAATAACCTGGAGGGCATGTGCAGTGAGCATCACGGGGCTGGAAGAAAAAACAGGCATTTGCTTAGGAACCTGCAGTCTCATGCAGATACTATTCTGTACCTTGCTGCATTAAGCACTGCACATTATCTGACCAGGGTCAGATGAAACTTTGATGACCATACACATACACTTTATCTTCCAGCAATGGGGGGAGGTTTGATGTAGCCCTGAAGAAACTCAGAGCATATGGGGACCTGGTGTCCCCTTCCTCCTCCCTACATAATTACAAACGAGGTGTAGGATTAAAGATAGTTGATACTAAAGAGAGAGAGACTGAAGAAAGAAGTGCAGGTGAGATAAGATGAAGAACAAAGTGTAAAGTAATACTGATATGTGTGAAGGCTGAAAAGCTTTTGCAGGACTGCTCCTGTACCTGAAACACCTGGCCTTTCCCAAGACAGATGCATGTCTCTTGCCCTTCTGCAGGCTGCATTGCCTCTGAGCCACATGGAAGACATGCATTTTGGCCGGGCATGGGATTGAAGAAATCCACTGGGCATGGCAAGCAGCTGTGCGATACCAGTGCTGCTCTTTCTGAACGAAAAGTCCCAGGCGGACATGGAACTGGTGTAATGCTTCCTTCAGGGCAGAAAAAGCCTTTGAACAACAACAGAAATGCTCATCAAATTTTCTTCTATAATGCAGCTGTATTATGTAGATGGATGAGTTTGCATCTTTCTAGTTTAAATATTGTAGCTTATTTATGTCATCATAAACCACTTAAATCAGTTAAATGAATCCTGCTTCGACAAAAACATTTGTTCATTTCATTATTGTTTTACTATGCAGCACAGAAAGGAAGCCTTCTGATGTGTAAATCTCATTACACTGCATGCTCTGTTCTTGTTGTTTAAGCTTACTTACCTTTTATAATAGGAATTTCAGCAAGCCAAGTTATTATCTAAGATCTCCTGTAGCATTCAACAAAATAAAAGTCTGACTGCATTTTTATTGAGCAGTATATGACTGAGAAGCATTCTAAGGAAGCTAATAATCTCTGCTAAGTTATCTACAAATACCTGCTGGACAAATTGGCATATTCTCTTCTCTTTCGTTGCAATAAAGTCCACTTTGACAGTCATCATTTTGAAGTTGTAGTTTCCCATTGCCACAAGGCAAGCTTGAAAAAATAGAGAAAATGAAGAGGCAGAAGGCCATTTCTCTATCGCACCAACTAGATTGATTTGCCAAATGCGGGTAAGTAACAAACATGCATAAGGAGAGTTTTCCTTTCAGCCACTGAATATTTAATGGTAAGTGAAAGTTAAAACATGGTAATGTAGTGGTGTAAAATATTCATGGAAGTTATTTGAGCCTGTTGTACTCCCCTACAGGTCATATAACAGAAGCTGTACTCTGTCCAATCTAAAGAATTTACATATGAAATATGACTGTTGCAGCACAGATAAGGGTTTATTTATGGCTATAGAAAATTGGCTACTGTACTTTGTAATATCAAGTTTTCAGGGTCCCTACAGCAGCTGTGATCTTTCAAAGTCTGTGAATCCGTGTTTACCAGAAAGGACCATCAGCTAGTATGGCGTGCATGGGGTTTTATTTTTGGGATAGGCAGCATAGCTTATGATGAGCATAAGCAAAAAAACCTGTTAAGCAATTTGTGTCTTTTGGGTGTTTACAACAGAAAATGTGGTTATGCATGGCTCTGTTTCTCAAGAGCTGTGGCAGCTCCTAGAATGCAGTTCAGGGACCCGCTTTTGAGTGCGCTCCCCTTTTTGCCGTTCCTCGTGGGGGTTTTAAACGGTAGGAAAACCCGCAAGTACCGGTGACCCCGCTAACAGGAGCGCAGGGCTCTGTCCTGCCGCAGGTTCCCTTGTCCCACAGCAGGGGGCAGTGGGGCTCCTCCTGCCGCCCGCATCCCGCGGTGCGGCGAATTGTCGGCGAGGGGAGGTAACGTAGCATCTTGGATTAATGGGCGTTGGAGGCACTTCTGAAACCTTCTCCCCGTTAATAAAAGGCAGCTCCCCATGTGTCATGAAAGCTGTGTCGTATATCTAGCAGAGGCTTCTGTTGTGAAGAGTGTAATCAAATATTCAAGAGCATTTCTGGGTGATGCTTCCCACTGCTCTCCTCAGTTTGTGCCTTCTGTGGCAATAGTAAATGCACACACATTTCTTAAAGATCTTTCACAAAACTACTAATTCAAAGAGCTGTATTTGGGCTGGACTTTCTAAGGATACAATAAATGAGTGATTTCCAGGTATATTTTGAATTTCAGTCGCTGTTCAGCCTGAAAAATAAAATATGAAAGGAGGGTCATTCAGAGAGAGGAGATGTTTATTTCTGGTTTTGCAAAAGTTAGGACTGTGTCTTAATTGCCAGCGTGTGGGTTGCCAAAAACTATTGCTGTCCCTCTGGCAAATACCTGATTTTACAATGAAGGGTTACTAGGTATACAGTTTTCTTTTATATGGGTAGTAATGACTGGAGTCCCCAGCCAAAGGTTGTGCTTTATAGGGGAATGTACAATACAATATCCACTAAAACGGTTGGGTTCTTAAAGTGTGATTTATTTAGATATGAATTGCCTGCACTTTAAATTACAATCCAAAACATTCCCATTCAGTGACTGCCTAACGCTGGAAGTGCCTAAACTTCCCTCCTTGTTTGAGTTTGCATTCCCCAAGCATAGAGATCTGTCTCTGAGCATGCCTGGAATTGCCTCCATTGGAGAAATCCTGTGCATAGGTCTGCCTAAAACAGATTGGAATGCAGGAACTAGCTGTGATTCTGCCTATTCTCCTGTCCCTGCAGGGCTTTGCTTTGGTGCCTAGTCTTAGAGCACACCTAGTAAATTCTGGTAATTGCCAAATTAAGGGCAGCCATTTCTTCTTCTTTGTAGTCTGTCTGCCTCTCTCTTTAAATCATAGATAAAGCCAGAGCCATCTGCCAGCCAGCATCCATGGGGCTGGAACACTCACACAGAAATCAGAAAGGTACTTTCAGTTCCTTTCTTTCCCAGAGAGGTTTCAATCCACGTCTCTTACCTCATAAACTAGTGCATTGCTGCCAATCAGTATCTGTGAGCAGTGGGCGGAAAGCAAAAGGGAGATAATAGAGGAATGAGTGCCTAATCTAGTTGCTCTTTGCGTCTGCTAATGTTGTCTAGGGAAAGCAGTGTGTCGTTGATATTCAGCTCCTTCTTTCCAGCAGTGCATCTGTATTTCAGCCAAGCCCTGGAATCCACTGGAAGTCTGGAATATTCCTTTTCTTTTTTTTTTTTTTTTTAATTCTAGGGCAGATGAGGTTGGGCAAGCATCCCATTCCTGGGTCTGATAGAGTTAAAATTTAGGGAATGCAGCTTTCATAGCACTGTGAAAATGACCACAGGAATTCCCTTAGGCATTAGGTTTCATAGGTAAAGAATATGAGAGGCAGTTTAGTAGCTTTCCTTCATATAGGAAGTATTTTATTGTCATGTATCTGATTTGCTACAAGACCAGCATCCTGTGGTAATGGGTCTGGGATAAGAAAACAGGTTGTGATATCATTGTCCCTGTTGAATCTTAGGTTAGCGATTGCTCTCTGTCATGAGCAGATGCACAACTTCCTTTTTCCACAGAACTGATATACAGTGTTGCTCTGTGTGTGTCAAGCTGCCATTTTCCTGGCGGCGATTGGAGTTTAATATCCCCATAAAACATTTCATGACTGCAATAAAGACCCAGAATTGGTGCCTGAGTCATTTTCAAAGCCCTGGATGACATGATGACCCTTAGTCATTACCTCTCTTAACTCTTCAGTCCAGCAAAAGAACAGAAAAAAGGGGAGGCCAAATACAGGAAACTCCAGTTTTTCTATTTATTTTTTTAAATAAGATGGAAAAATAAGTCCTATTGGGTAAATAGCTTTTAAAAGCATCATATTGAAGACGGAAATTGGAGGATCCACACCTTCTGACGAGAGCAAAGCAGTCTCTTACTGTACTTTTCTGGTATGGGACTTGTAAAACCATCCCTGATGCACATACAATGAACTTAATCATCGGTGGTTTTCATCTATGAAAGACCAGATTCATCTTTCAAGCTGTATGTTATTGCTAGCTGTTTTTCTTCCTGGGCATCAATGTTTGAGAACTATTTAGTATTTTAATTACAGGGTATCAGAATAAGTAGGTACTTTAAATATCATAGTAAGGCAGTCAAGAAAAATTTGGGGCTTATTTCTCTCTTATTCAGTTGAATAAAGCTTTCTAAACAAAGCAAAGGCTGTGGTCACACAGCCATAGGTGGTGTTTGTTCCTCCTCAAATATTTGACCAACATACTCCAGAGTTACACAGATTATCTGGAGAATAAACTTTATGTGGAAAGGAAATAATGTTTACAGTAGACTGAGACTCTGCTAAAGGAGGCCAGTTACGTTTAGATAATGGTTGCTCTACAATCGTATGGGTTCTTGGAAGAGAAACTTACGCAAATGCTGAAATAGCTTTAAAGAATTCCAGTGAAAGGCTGGGCTGTGACAGTTGGCACATCAAGTTACTGATAGTTTTTGATGGCATTACCCACAACTAATTCTCAGAGGACTTATTACTCTAAAAACTACAACTTATCTTGAGCCTTTGCACCTTGCTCCAGGGTTAGGACCTAATGACAAGCTTGCAGTATTCATGGTGCTCCCTTTCAGTTTTACAGCTGTCTGAGCTGGGAAGGGAGGGTGAGGGTAATTATGTGACCCCAATTGCAGAAAAAGTCAGAACACTTACAGCGAGTTCCTGCAGACCTGCTTGAAGGAGTTGTAACATACGACATGTATTTATTTTATTGTGCTTGGGTTTTCTTTGTTTTATGGTTGTCTTTAGTTTTGTGTGTGCTTTGTTGGGTGCAGTTTGGGTTTTCTTGTTGGATGAGGTGATTTGTTGGGCTGTTTTTGGTTTGTTTGTTTGCAATGTGCTTAAGCCCTGCAAAAGAGGAAGGCATCTTTCTCCACATAAAATACAAGCATGTGACAGCACAACCCGGAGCTTTGTTAGGGGTATTTGTCATCTTCAGAAAACAAACACCACCCATTAAATTGAAGTGGTGAAAGTGATCCAACGTGTGGAAGACTCTCGTTTTATTTTCATTCCTCTTTCCATGCCTTCTTTGGTATATTTCTCTTTATTTTTCCCTATTTACTGCTCATCTAGTTGGTTCTTTTTGGGTAGTCAAATGAGCAAAAGGCTTGGGGCACTTGGGACTCAGCTGCAGTGTTGGAAAACAAAAAAGCTGAAGACAAGTTATTCTGAGATAATCCTGAAAAACCAGACCAATCATAATTTAAACAAATGAAAATACAGGCCAAAGAGAGCCCAGACATTTTCATGTCCCAGGGACAATACGGAGACTGGAAGTTGCTAGGGTTTTTTTGCTTTGACTTTCTATTTTGGCAATGGCAATGCGTTATGGCTAGGTAGATTAAAACCTTGGAGGGTATAAATTAGCATCTCTGCAGCTGAGCTCTGATTCTGGGAGAGGAGGTAATGTGAGGAGTATAGTGTCACATGGCTTTTGCTTCCTCAGGGAATTAAAATACAAACTTTATTTCATCTGTAAGACAAGGAGCTGAGGTTTTGTTTTACAATATTGCCCTTGTTTCAGCTGGATAGAGCTGTAATTTTCTTCCTATACAAATAGACAAGTATTTCATTGGAGATAATGAGCATAAGAAATAAAAATCCACTATTGAAATGATGTCTGTTACATACATAAATGTCATCAAGGTGGACTTCACTAGTGTACATGCTTTGCAAGCATTCCACTTGGCTGTGAACTTGAAAAACTGCTGGGTTCTGTAGAACCTTATCTTTTTTTAATATCAGGAAAGGGATTGCCTTTGTGTGTGAGTAATAATTCCAGTGAAATGGAAAGGTCGTGCTAACTAGGACTCAAAGCACACACCTGGAAGCATTAGAAAATGAAACCAGAAACTGTCCAAGGACTTAAAGTTCTAGTAATTTAATTTCTGTTCCCTGGTATATCCTAGAGTTGTTCTAGCAGGAAGATATTTCTTGATTAATTGAGATGTGATTTCATCACAGCTTGAGTGGAGGTGTAAACATACCTTTTATTCCAGCTCCCTAAAGAAAAGGATCAGAAAGATGCTTAAGAGTCTAGTGAAGAAAATGAAAGCTGAAGTTTTAAGGGGCTGTACTTTGTGGACTCTAGAATACTTTAAGTATCAGGGTTTGTGAGGATGGAAATATTTTTTGGC